TAAATAAATTAATTAATTAATTAAATTAAATACCAACTGTGATGAAAGTCAAGAGAGTAGGAAATTTTAACCTTGAAGGTGCTTCAGATGCAAAAGGGAGGAAAGTATGCTTCTGCTATATAATCTTGAACATCCATTCTATGCTAGATTTTCCAGAGATAAACTTAGTATTTGGGATTTCATAAATATTTCATATCAAATTCATAGATATTCAAACTGAAATATAATTGAAAAAATGGTATTAGAAAAAGATATCTATGCCCCCAACATAAAAATGTACCATGAGACTGAAAAAAGATCTCAGGTGTGGCCTAAGTCAAAGTAACAATGAATTTAGCAATGACATTCCTTTAATTCTTTTTATAAGTGGTTACTTATTTGACTGATAGGTAACAAGAGAGTCTCTATAGTCCCTTCCAGCTCGAAAATTCTATTAATAAGATTAGAAAATTTAAGAAAAAAACTGTGTAGTGTAAGAAGTATTTCTGCTTCATAGAAATTCTCTTAGATACATGGTGAATGTTTAATAAATACTTTAATTGAACTGATTTGGCACTTAATAGCTACTGACACTAAAAGATTTTCTCATGTGTATGCATGTGGCCTGTAAAAAGTACTTAATTTTTCTATTTTGAGTTTTTTTTTTCCTTTGAGTATACAGATGTATGTTAAGTGGATCAGGATTAATAGATGGTTTCACAGCAGAAAAAAACCCTGGGAAACACCAGAGCTCTTGATTTTTCAAACGTAATGGTTATTTACAATCTTATTTAAAAACTCAATTACTTTTTTAAAGTTTCAATTATTTATAACCTTAGAATGTGTTGCAGGGTTTTTTTAAGTGAAATCATACACAATTTTAATCCCTGGACTTTGTAATTCCAGAGACCACCATTTGACTTGTTGCATTGCAACGGAATTGTACAATAATACCTACAGCTAGAAATCAAAGATCTTATTAGCTATGATTTAGAGATGAAATCCAATTGCTGCTCAGCCTTTCCATAGAGAAGAGAAAACAAATCCTTTTGAACCCGGGTAAGATGTGTAAGGACTCTTTCAACATCGTCTATGAGGTTATGGAGAAGGTGTCCTTAATGCTTCGTTCATGCTACTCTCTGTAATGATATTCCTCACTGAAGCTATCTAGAGAACACTTAGGAGAACCATTTGGTCCAGGCCTCACCAAAGAGCCTCAAATTTGAATTCTTCACCTAAGTAAGATATACTTAATCTCATAAATATACTGTCAGAATTGAAGAAAGACAACATTCCTCATACAGTTTAAAACAGATCACACTGTTTGAGGTACCATATGAATAATTAAATTTTTATATAAATTATATAATTAATTTTCTTGTGAAAAGCATAATTATATTGCTGTGTATTTTAAAAAGTGTTGAAAGCACTATTTTATTATTTAGAAACATTTAAAATACAGCCCAATTTTTGTAAACACCTTTTTGAAATTTTTTAAAATACTTAAAATACTAGAAACCTCAAAAAATGTGACTTAGGTTCTTAACTTCTGAGAGACTCTGACTCTACATACTTCCAGAACACTTTAAACAACATATAATTGCACGTATTTACTTAGCTGCCTCTCCAACTAGATTATGAGCTACTTGAAAGGAGCCTATGGTTTATTTATCAGTATACTAAGTGCCTAGCACAGTGCTTAATACAGAGTGGATGCTTTATAAACATTTGTGGATCTATGATCCAATACATCTCACAAGCAGAAAGCGTTCCTCTCTTTCAAACTACAGTACTTTTGCCTTAGTCTCCTTTAGATAGAAGTGGTGAGGGGTCGGCCCCGTGGCTTAGCGGTTAAGTGCGCGCAGTCCGATGCTGGCGGCCCGGGTTCGGATCCCAGGCGTGCACCGACGCACCGCTTCTGAAGGCCGCGTCCCACATACAGCAACTAGAAGGATGTGCAACTATGACATACAACTATCTCCTGGGGCTTTGGGGGAAAAAAAATAAATAAATAAAATCTTTAAAAAAAAAAAAAAGAAGTGGTGAATAGGGCAGTGCAGTTCCCATTAAGTTCTTGCTGTTGCCAGTTCCAATTTTAGTCTTATTTTTGCCTTTTATTTCTAAAAGAAACCTATAATACTTTCTGCGAATGTTTACTAGGGACAAGAAGGAAAATAAATTTGTAGAGCCTTTTTCTATTTTAGTACATCTTATTACAATGGAAATAATAGCCATAATACATAAATAAATAATATAAAATTATATATGTAATATATAAAGAATATAAAATTGCTTTTCTAATGCATACGTGTTGTTATCCAAAGACAAAGATATGTATTGTCAAAAGTATTATTTTCACTTTAATAAGAACATGGAGAAATTTATTGGAAAAGTATGGATTTTTCATCAACTCATAGAAACATGTACTTGCTCTTTATGATGTATTTTTCTTGGCTTCAAACTGGAAGAGCTTTTAATGACTAATCAAAAGTTTTGCCTATTCCCCCTGAAAAGATCAAAACCTGTACTCCCATTTGTCTGAAACGGTATAAATAGGGATATGGAGAACCAATGTTTAAGAGCATGAAATAGTGACCTAAGATTTTTTGCAACCCTGTGATTACAAGATTTTACTCTCACACACAACCTCCTACTAACTTACCGTATTCAATTCAACATCTTTTCTCAGCATTTCAGCTATGATTTGAGCCAATCTTTTCCAAACCAGACTCTCCAACACCCTCCTAGCTATAATCATCTACTTAAATGACAGTGCCTCCTAAATCCCTTGAATCTGCTATTGTCCAAGTTACATCAAACAACCACCCCCCTCAGCCTCCCAGAGCTTGACGTTATCTATTGTTTAAACCCCATCTTTCAACCGGATGTGTGTTTTTTTTTTTTTGGTGAGGAAGATCAGCCCTGAGCTAACATCCATGCCAATCCTCCTCTTTTTTTTTGCTGAGGAAGACTGGGCTAACATCTGTGCCCATCTTCCTCCACTTTATATGGGACACCGCCACAGCATGGCCTGACAAGTGGTGTGTCGGTGTGCGCCTGGGATCTGAACCCAGGTCGCCAGCAGTGCAGTGCATGCACTTAACGGCTACGCCACGGGGCACCCCTCAACCCGATGTTTTTTCATCTCTCTCAAGTCTACTATATCTCTAAAGTTCCAAATCTAGAGAGAGAGGAGGTAACTACGCCAACAAGCCAAATTGCTAGCTACCCAAAAGTGAGGCCTTAGACCCACTTTCTGAAGGACATACAGCATACATTTACTCAACTTTTTCCATGTCAGGCACGGTACTTTGTGCACACTATCTGTATTATCTCATTTAATCCTCGACAACTCTATGATGCAGATACTACTCAACTGAGGAAACTCAGGCTCCAAAGGATAAAGCAACTTGCACAAGGTCACACAACCATTGAACTTTTGGGATCAGGCCACTCTGCAACTGTGGCCCCTATTTCTCTGCATTTTGAGAGAAACCAATTGCTTTAGTTATTTATCAGTTTATATTTTTACCCCTATAAGCAGCTGCTAAAACACCAATCAGTGAAATCAACACAAAGAAAAGTGCAGGAGGGAGCGGCTCCATGGCCTAGTGGTTAAGTTCGGTGCACTCTGCTTTGGCAGCCTGGGTTGGGTTCCTGGGTGCGGACCTACACCACTCATTGGTGGCCAGGGTGTGGCGGCGATCCACATACAAAATAGAGGAAGATTGGCACGGATGTTAGCTCAGGGTGAATCTTCCTCAACAATAACAACAACAAAAAATAGGAAGTGCAGGGAGCATTAGGTTTTACCTCAGTGCTATAAATTCCCCTTAGTTTTGGGATTATCCCCCCATTCAGGGTCCCAGTGACAGGGCAGGGCCTAGAATAAGGCAAGTCAGGCACGCACCTCAAGCATAAAATTTAAGGAGGCTCCAAAAAACTCAGTATCTGAGATAAAAATAATATTTAACACAATATTTTCAAAAATAAAAATCAATGCAAGAACAATCCCTGAAGAACAAAATAGCAACAACAAAAAAAGACCAGATCAGACCCTGTACTTGTACAACCTTGTCTCACTTACCTCACTCTAATTCCTTTATTTATGAAAAAAAATTATTTACAAAAACAGGTGACCAGCCAGACAGCTGTAGTTTGTCCATTTGATTTTTAAAAATATTTCATTAAAATTTTATTTAACTCAATCACTGATTTTTGGTGCCTCCTTAAATTTTGCATCCTTGGCAAGTGCCTCACTTGCCTCACCATACTCCCAGCCCTGTCTAGTGACCAAATATTTTTTTTTTTTTTAAAGATTTTATTTATTTATTTTTCCCCCAAAGCCCCAGTACATAGTTGTCTGTCATAGTTGCACATCCTTCTAGTTGCTGTATGTGGGACGCGGCCTCAGCATGGCTGGAGGAGTGGTGCCTCGGTGCGCACCCGGGATCCGAACCCAGGCCGCCGGCAGCGGAGCGCACGCACTTAACCGCTAAGCCACGGGGCCGGCCCACCAAATATTATTTTTTAAAAGTCATTTTAATGCCACAAAATACTTTGGAGCTCATGTTGGAGCTGGGGGTGGGAGGTAAGCAGCAGTCTGGAATCCAAAAGGACTATGTCTTAGAACAGTAAAGCCTGCTGATACCAATCATGAAATAGATTGTTAACACCTTAAAAAAACAAAAACAAAAACAAGAAAATGTCTTAGGTGCTTTTCATGGCCATTCCCCCTCAAAGGTAAGGGGGGAGTGTAGGTAGCTTCCTCAACCTCATAAAAGGCATATATAAAGAACACACAGCTAAAATGATGATTAATGGTAAAAGACTGAAAGTTTTCCCCCTAAGATCAAAACAAGTCAAGGATGTTCGCTCTCACCACATTTATTTAACATTTCACTGGAAATTCTAGCCAGGGCAATTAGTCAAGAAAAAGAAATAAAAGGCAACCAGATTTGAAATAAAGAAGTAAAACTATCTCCATTCTCAAGTGCCATGATCTTGTATATAGAAAATCCTAAGGATACACACACAAAAATTAGAGCTAATAAACAAGTTCAGCAAGGTTGCAGTATACAAGATCCATACCCCAAAATAAGTTCTATTTCTATACACTAGCAATAAACTATCTAAAAATGAAGTTAAGAAAGCAATTCCACCAAGAAGACCATTCAATTGGGGAAAGAATAGTTTTTTTAACAAATGATTTTTGAAACAACTGGATATCCACATGTGAAAGAAAAGTTGAATCCTACCTCACACCATACACAAAAAATTGACTCAAAATGAATCAAAGACGTAAATATAAAAGCTAAAACTGGAAAACTCTTAAAAGGAAACATAGGAATAAAGCTTCATAATTTCTTAGATATGATACCAAAGCATAACTGACAAAATAAAAAATAAATTGTACTTCATCAAAAATAAAAACTTCTGTGCTTCAAAGGATGCTATCAAGAAAGGGAAAAGACAATCCACAAGATGGGTAAAATATTTGTAAATTGTATATCTGAGGAGGGTCTAGTATCCACAATATACAAAGGACTCTGACAACTCAACAATAAAAAGACAAATAATTCCCTTTCATTTCAAAAGTCTACCCTCCCTGCTCTGCTGCCTCACCCTCATTTCTAAGGTCCACTCTGCTTGCTCCCTATCACTTCAGAGGTCCTCTCTGATTGCAATGCGCTGCTCATTTCTGAGGTCTGCCCTCACTATTTACTCTTCCACTCTCATTCCTAAGGTCCACTCTCCCTGCTCCTCCCTCTCCCCACTTCTAATAATTGTCCTCACTACTGTTCCTTATCTTATGTTGTAGGTCTGAACCCCTGCTCCTTCCTCCTCATTTCTAAATTCAGTCCTTCTTCTCTCTCCCCATTTCTAAGGTCAACCCTCCCTGCTCTGCGCCCTTCCATTTCTAAGTTTGGCCCTCCTTGCTCCTTCCCTCCATACTGGAGGTCCGCCCTCACTGCTCTGCTCCTCCCCCTCTCATTTCTAAAGTCGCCCTTGCTGTTTGCTCCTTCCTGCATTGCTAAGGTTTTCTCTTTCCCTGCTCCGCTGTCTCCCCACCCTACCCCCACCGCCGGCGTTTCTAAAGTCAGCCTCCCCCCTCTGCTCCCCCTCCCTCGTTTATGAAGCCTGCCATCCCTCCTCTCCTCCCCCTCCCCATTTCTAAAGTGGATGATAGCATGCAGAGGTCTGAGATAAAAGACTAGAGGGCGCCAGCAGAGGGAAATGGTGGTCTAGCGTGAATAAGCACCAACCAAAAAGCAAGCAAGCAAACACGCCAGCCCTTTGCCCAGTCTTGCTGCCGACTGTCACTCCTTGCAAACTAGCCTAAGGCTTGCTCCTCCTACCCCTGGAACCTAGTCACTTGTGACACGTGCCCAGACTGTGAGAGGGAATGTGGCCCATTGCCTGCAGTGTGTGGCCCCACGTGTGTGGGGGGTAGCTTACCCTCATTCCTTAGGAGAGTAAAATATACGGAGAGAGCCGGCTTTTTTCCCCCCTCCTGCCCCCTTCCAACAATCCTTAGTCCCCACTCAATTTCCGTCAGCCTCGGCCAGTTTCCCACCTAAGAAGAGAGGGTGGGAAACAGGGGAAAAGAGGAGCAGAGGGGAGGGGCAGGGCTTCATCTCAGTGGGGCGGTTGCTGAGCACCGAGGGGAAGCCACCCCACCCAGGGGTGTGTGCCTCGGAGTGACACTCCAAGCCTGCCCAATGGCGAGCTCTCCTGCTCAAAGCCAGCCAGTCCAGACTAGGGGGACAGGGATCCGGGATCTACATACCTAGAGACATATCTAGAAAGGTCATCTTTCCCCCATTTTGGGGGTCTGTCAGCACCTTTCCAGAAAGGTTGGAAACCGAAGCCATCTCCTCAGTGTAACTGCACCACACGCTGAGCTGGACTCTTGTAGTGCCCCTCACTGCCCGCTAGGGGTCCTGGTGAAACTCGTCCTCCAATCACAGTCTTTCTCTTCGCTGTTGCTAAGGCCTAAGGGGTGGAGCTTGGTATATACCCCTTCCCAGGTCTCCTATCAGGAACTTGGTTCACAAAAACAAAAAAGAAGACGACCCGCCAATTTCTTTCCCGCTCTTTCTACTGTCTCTTCTCTCGTGCATCTGCCGCTCAGTCAGCAACAGCTGTTTTTTTTCTGTGACCTCTTGACCTTTGCCTTTCATAGCTCTTAGAAGAACCCATTTCTCCTCTTTGCTGTTGGCATTCCTGGCAAATAAAACCTTGTGTTCTTCATGTGATGTACTGGTTCTCTGCTTCTCTCACATTTCAAGAGCTACCACGAATCTAGCAGTTAAAGTATGATAGGAAAAAAATGCTCTAAACCCTTTGCAGAATATAAAAGTCCCTCCATAATCTAATCTCTGCTGATCTCTTCAGACTCATCTTTCAGTACCCCACCACATGGAACGACTTGAACTTTCTAGAGTGTGCTGGTAGAGCTGCTTCCTCTGCCAGAAAATACCCTTCACACGTCTACAATTATTCCCTAATTTTTCAAGTCTTAAATGAATTTTTCTTGATAACTTAGGCGGATTTTCTCCATTAAGTCTTATATATATTTTGTAGATACTAGTATCCCAGAGCCTAACACAATAAGGAGCTCAGTATTTGTCGATGGACTGAATTATAGCACCAAAATTAATATTTTGCATGTATTTATTGTCTTCAGGCAACCATATGTGCCTTGAGAAAAAGATTTATTTATAGATCTTTAGGTCCCTGGTGTTAAGTAATGGTTTAACTACAACAAATAGTAAAATAATTTACATTTTAAAATCGCCTCAGACATTTATGATGTGATTTCCCTAACAACTTGAACAAGTTTTCAGCTCTCAAAATTTATTAATTTGATTTTTATTTCCTCTGAAGAACCAGTGACACATAGGATTCCCCTAACATTTAAAAATAGCATGTACTGAGGCATATATTTAGGAGACAGGAAGAACAATTATATTTTTTTTAAGAAATGTCACGGACACACCTTTAGGGAAGTCATCAAAAAGTATGTGGCATTGCAAAAAGTATGTGGATGCAATAAATATTTTTGAAGGAATAAATGTAAAGTCATTGGGGCTAAACACCCCTTTCTGTCTGTCTCTTCCTCTCTCTCCCTCTCTTGTTCTCTTTCTTTGAATACTTTCTCGTTCTCTGAATGTCAGCTGTCTTTGTTTATTTGTGTACAGAGGTTAAATGTGGTCATTCCTCCTTTACCCTATATTATCATGGTTCAAACGATGACAACTGAATGGCCCAGAATCTGATTGTCCCAGCTTAGGTGAGGGCATAGACTTTTTGACCAATTAACTGTGGCCAGGATCATACATAAAAACATAGCTGCAAGAACTCATTTGTGTGTGTGTGTGTGTGTGTGTGTGTGTGTGTAAGGGGAATTTTTCAGAAGGGGAGGTTGTGGGTTTCATAGATGTCTCAAGAAGTAACAACTACATTAGCAACCTGGCATAAGAGTAGTACATGTGGAAAAAACAGGTGATTTTGATGACTAGTTATTCATAGGAATCAGCAGTGGCATGTGGTTGTCAAAAAAATCAAATGATACTTCAGTTTTTGTAGTGGACTTTTGCTT